GGAGGATCAGGGGGAGAAAGGGGTATACCCTCCAAAGGCACTTCTGCAGTGATCCAGCTCCCTCACTGAGGCCTCATCTCCTAACAGCACATTCAGTTATCAGCGCATTAATGGGTTAGTCCACTGATGATTCTAGTGCCCCATGATCCAGTCACCTTTCCAGAGCCCCACTTCTGGCACATGAGAGTTTTGTGGGATATTTTAGATCCGAATCACAATAAAATCTTACCCTGAATCTGCTTCTACACTGAGAATGTTTTGAGCTTTCCTTTTATTACAACCTGCAGCTAGAAATTGATTAGTAGTTTTGAAAATAATTTTATTTTTATTGTTATAATACAGAGACCATTATCTATATCTTGCTTTTACAACACAGAGTGCCATATTTGTGGGCATCGGGAGGGTCCAGATGGCAACTTTACTAGACATTGGAAGTAAACTGATTTGTTTAAAATCAGGAGTTGTATCCAGGAAAAGTGATAACATATTTTAGATATATTCCTTAAATCATGTCTACACACAGCTGATGCAGTTATTTTAACCAAGTGACAAGTGAGGCCAAGTGCTTCAGTGATATCCTTAGGAAAATATGCATTTTGTCTTAGGCAGTAATTTTGATTTCTTCCTCTGTGAAACCTTTCGCTGGAGTAGATAGACTTAAGTCAAATACAAACTAGCCTCCAAACTAGATGGAGACATTTTGGATGACTTCAGGGTAGATAAGGCTCACTGGCTGGACAGAATGAACACTGACTGGGTCAACTGTCAACAATGGGGAGAGATCCGATTAGCCTTGGGGTAATCACTCAAGCACACGCACCCACCTCACTTTTCCACCTTTCTGCTAGTGACGGGACACAGAACAATATGAATCATGGCTTGGCAGAGAAGGCGATGCTTGAGTGAGGGCTGCATGGAGTAGTTGATGGAGAGAGATGAAGGCCAAGACTAAGCGGGGATCTGCACTAGCTGGAGCCCAGAGTGGCCCTGGAGGGTGGTAGGAGATGGAAGAGGAGTGTAGAACAAGCTGGGATGGAAAATTCTTGAAAATCATGCTAAAAAGTTTAACTTATAACCCTCAGGAGGCATAGAGTCACTGAAAGACTTCATTTTTAGTGGAGAAATTATGTAATTATGTAGATCATAGGGAGAAAGACATCCTTGACTCCAAGGAGACTCATGATGTGGAAACAAAACTGGAAGGCATTTAGAGAGATAAAGGGGAGACGCCTGGGTGATCCGGCTGGGGCATGTGGGAGCCTGAACAGGCAACGGAAGTGGGGTAGGACGGAAGAGCTGGCAGAGGGTCTGGGCTGGCACTAGTCCCTCCGTTATGGCTTGGAGGACTGAATTAAATAAGGCAGGAGTCAGTAGGAGGGACAGACTTGTGGGGTAAATTAAAAAATTTTAAAAAATCTGTTGTAAAAGATGAAATTGTCCAGTAGGCAACTTAACTGGACCTTGTGAGAGATAAGATCAGTGTGAAACTGAAAAACAACAAATTGCATAAGATCATGCAGGGAGAGTGTAAAGAGACAAGGATAAAATCTTGATAAATAGCATGTTTAAGTGTTGTGGAGGAAGAGAGGTGCACAAAGGAATAAAAGTGTTGCCTTGAGAAGGATGGGTAGAATCAAAATGGAGAGGTACTAAGGAAGTCAGGGCAGGAGAAAATTTTAACAAATGAGTTTCAACACCAGTCATAGCTGCAGAGGTGAAAAATGACTAAATTATGTACATTGAGTTTAGCAGTTAAAGTGTCAGTGCAGAGTAAAGGAACAAAGTCGTCTCAGTTCTGCATAAGTGAGCGAGCACAGATGGGAAATATGAAGCAATCTCTCCAGAAGTTCACTTGCGGAGAGAAAGAGAGAGATGGGGAAGGGGGAAGGAACATAATGGTGTCCTACTGATGTGATGAGGAGACTGAGGCAAGCACCCTGCAAATGTATTTGCATATAAGGTAAGCTTTGGAAGATTCCAAACTTCTCTCCTTTCTCCAGCTCTCCATCTGGAGTTATCCTGGGGTTTTCAGTCACTAGGGAAATTTCTCTAGGAGTCGCAATGATCTTTTTAATAAGATGTTTCTTTTAAGCACACCATGGTATCCTACTCAGGCTTGACCACCCAGAAATAGTTCTAGCTCCTTCCTTAAAAAAACCTAACAGTTAGGGCTGGGGATTTAGCTCGGCAGCATAAGTGCCTGCCTTGCAAGTACATAGTCATGAGTTTGATCCCTGGTACCAAAAAAAAAAAAAAACAAAAAACAAAACAAAACAAAAAAACCCCCCCAAAACCCCACTTAACTGTTGTCCTTGATATGTCAGTCAATTTTCTGCTTATGTAACTTTCCTAGCAGGCCTAAAATCCCTGTGCACTTCAGAATGGCTGTTAGCTCATCTGTCTGTAACTACCCTCTATCCCCCTGCACAATACCGTTTGCATCAGAGATGGACACCTACCCCCCAAAATTTTTAAACTTTTATTCTAGCAGTACACGTTTGTGAAAGATGCAGTTTGCAATCATCTTGGGGAGTGGTTACTTGTACATACCACAGCTTGTTTCTTTTTTTTTAAAAAATTCTCTTCCCTTCCTTTCCTCTTCCTTGTTCCTCCTCTGATTCCCCATCTTGATTTTCATTTCTGTTGGAATTACTAATCCTAGCTCATGTTATGGTGTATACTGTTTACATCCACTGAGGTTATTAGCTTCCTGTACATAGCTTATCTGTACTTATTCCCTTTACCTTCCCCCTTCCTCCTCACCCGTGTTCCTTGTACCATTTCCTTCTTGCAAGAGACCCATCCTTTTGTACCCCTTTTATCTGTTCTTTATTATTCTGTTTGTTTATGTTTTGCCTCATTCAAATAAGAGATACCATATAGCATTTAAGCTTATGCATCTGGTTTATGTCACTCAATGTTGTGTTTTCCAGATGCATCCATTTTCCTACAAATGTCTCAAATTTGCCATTCTTTATAGCTGAGTAGTATTCCATTACATATCCCAAACCAGTTAATATGGCAATTTGCCAGTGATCTGAGTAGTTTGGTTAGAATAAGTAAGTTGGCTTATCTATGTTCTTTCGCTAAAGAAATTCGACTCTGAGATGCAGTAATTATGGGGAACACTGAGAGTAAGATTGTGAGTTGGTTGCTAAGCTGCTTTTGGATGTTTTCAAAAATTTTCAGACAGCCTTAAAATGTCCTGTGTTCCCTGCCACTTAACCTGAGCCACTAGAGTAAATTTTGCCCACCTGTAACCAAAATAGTCCTGACATGTTGGCTAGATCACCATGACTAGAGTTCCATTTTCTTCAGCTATGGCAAATGAATTCATAGTTAAGTGGCTCACTACACGAATGATGCTCCTTTTTTTCCTGATGTGCTTTTTCTGTCTATTTTATATTTAAATGATTCTAAAGCATTTCAATGTGTTCAATGTTTCTCTCAGTGTGAAAATAAAAATGTTTTCTTTTTTGAGGGATTGATATAAATGATCATTTCACAGACGATAACATGAAGCTCTGATTATAGTGGTGTAACCATGCAAGGGTTTATTCTCTTCTAAAAGAGAAGTCCAGAGTCAGTAGGCAAGGGTGGTCTGGAAACTTCACGATGTTCTAAGGGAAATTCTTTTTTCTTCTCTGAAGCTTACCTACCACATGACCCAAGAAAGCTACTGGAGCACCAGCCAATCATGAGACAGGAAATGTGGCTGCTAAAAACTTCAGAAAGCCGGCTGGGAGTGGTGGCACAAGCCTGTAATGCCAGCACTCTGAGGCTGAGGCAGGAGGATCGTTGTGAGTTGGAGACCAGTTTGGGCTACAAAGTGAGCTCAAGAGCAGCCCGAAATGCATACCAAGACCCTGTCTCAAAAAGACAAAAACAAAACAAACAGCAGCAACAACAAAAACAGCAAAACCCTAAAAAATGAAGTGTTTAAGTACCTCAGGGACATTTACTTCCGACAGAGATTTTCAAATAAGCTCTTTTGCCCCACCACCATGTCACCTTTCCTGAGCATCGCACTTCCTTGGTTTATTTTTCTCCATACTACATCCCCATAGTTGATTACAATTTATCTCTTCCCCAGAGGAGACTGTCTCAAAGGCACTGTATGTGCTACCTTGTTCACTGTGGATGTAGGGAAGGGTGAAAATGGTTAGTGACAATGACCATGGCTTATCTGGCTAACCGGCCAGCTGGAATCAGGAGTTCTTGCTCCCCAGCAGCTTCCTGCAGTCACGTTATGACCCCAAGGCAGTAAGTCTGAGGAGAAAGGCAAAGGACTGAAGGTGGCCACGGAAGCTGCAAACAGATTGGGTCCTGAGGGTCAGGCCTGCGCAGCTGGAGATATGTGGAACAGTGTTCTTCTTGTAGACTTTTTGCTACCGGTGATAGAGAAGAAATCCGTTCCTGACATGTGGGAGCTGGCTGGTATCATCAGCTCTGCCATCGTGTTGTGTCTGTTGAGCCCCAACGAGTGGGCAGCACATCTGGCCTGACTGAGCAGCAGCAGCAGCAGCGCTGTGCAGTGTGCCAGCGTGTACGGTGGGCTGGTGTCTCCCACCTCTCATCCTCCCTCTCGGGGGCTCGAGTCAGGCCCGCGGGCAGGACGGCGGCTCAGCCCGCGTCTCCGAGTCCAGCTCTCCGAACTCGGCGCTTGCTCGGGCTGCCCGTCCTCCACGCCTCGTGGTTTGGTCGCTGGCCGAGGCAGGGGAGCAAAGTAGTCGGGCAAAGCTCGCCCGAGCCCGGGAGGGGCGAGGACCGCGGCCCACGCGTGGGCGCCCTCGGGACAGCCCGGCGGGAGCACGCGGGGGCGCTCCGCGGAGCACGCAGGGCGGCGGGCGTGGCTCCGGTGCGCCGGCCGGTTGCTAAGCCCCGCGCCAGGGGACGCTGCGCTCGGCCGCGGGCTCCCAGGCCGAGGCCGGCCGGCGGGAGGGGCCAGCGCGGTGGCGCTGCTGCCCCGCGCCGCCCCTCGGAGCTCGCCGGCCGTCGAGCCGCGCCCCGCGCCTCCCCTCGGAGCCGCTCTCCACCAGCCATGCCGGCCGCCTCCGCCGCCCCGCGCCCGCCGCCCCCGGCCCGGCCCGCCCCGGGCTGCCCCGCTCGGCCTGCGCCTGGTAAGAGCCGCGGCAGCCGGCCTTTGGGGTCTGGGCGGGCGGGCGGGGCGCCGCGTCGGCGGGGGTGCGGACCCCTCGGCCAGCGCTCCCGGGACCCTGCTCCGTGGGGACGGGCAGCAGGGGAAGCAGAGCCCGGCCTCACGGGGTGCCCGTAGCACACTCTGCGTGTGTGTGTGTGTGTGTGTGTGTGTGTGTGTGTGTGTGTGTGTGTACGGGGCTACACCGGCTGAAACTCACTTGCTAGAGGTAAAGCTGTGCAGAGGTGGGTTCTTCTCTGCAGCCAGAGGGGCCTCTCTGGAAAACGCACCAAGCAGATTGTGAGGTGCATCAGGACTGCAGGAAAGGGAAGGCACCAGGGAAGGAGCTGAGATTTATTAAACATCTCAGTCGCCAGACACTTTATCCAGAGTTCACTTCATTTTATCCTTTCCACGAACTGTAAAGAAGGTGGAATTATCCCCATTTTCCCAACAAGAAGACTGAGGTCCCAAGAGCTTTTACTTTGCCCAAGATCGTATCATTTGATAGTGGTAGAACTGAACTTGAACTTGAACTCTAGTCTCCAGAGCTGTCTGGCCCACCTAAAGGAAAGAAAACTGTTAGATTCAGGTGGAGACAGGAGAAAGAAAGGCTATTAGGAAAAACACTACAGACAAAGGATTTGGAAATTAACAGGAAAAAAGCTGAGCCCATGAAATATCTCAGCGATTAATGTCAAATACAGTGTGGTTCCTCACTTACCATTCCTTCCAGTCTGGCTCTGGTGAGGAGGTGTGGCGATGAGGAAACGTGGTTGTAATAATGCTGGGTAGAGGTGTTGGGGGCACCTTTTCCTAGTGGCTGCCTGCTAGGAGTTGGGGGTGAGGGGAAACTGTGGAGAGATCTGAGTTGTTATTCATTCCTCAACTCCATTTCACCCCATCATAGCTGACACCATTTCCTTTCCTTTCCTTGATGTATTGTCCAAGGTGACAGTGGCCAAATGGAAGCAGGGTCCCCACCTTTATCACTGACTCTAGGCATGGAGTAGCCCTCCCTAAGGAGCTGAACTTTTGGGCTAGTGTTGAGCTAGTGATCAGAAGCAAGAGGCATTTGCTGCAGAAGGCAAGCACTATGGTTGTCCTTAGGCAAGCAGCAAAAGTACAGGCTCTGGGGTATAAAGAAGGACAGAGGGGTCGGATTTTCTAATAGTCCAGCTTTAGAATACCACTTGGATTGCTCTGGGTGGAGCTGTAGAATGCTTCACTGGCAAACGAAGAGAGAAGCAGAAAATGATTTCTGAAATACACTCTTTTCATTTAGGTTTGAAAGGTCTTTGAGCCATGTCCATTTATGGTGCACTTCGTCATCTTCATGCACACTGGTGCCCTAAGCACTTTCTCTCCCAACTGCTCTCCCCTTGCATCTCTTTGTCAGAGGATTGTCCTTGGTCACTTAGATCTGCAGGAACCCAGAGCAGGGAGTGCTTGGAAACTGACATCTTCCCTAGGGCAGTGACCAATGTGCTATCCATAGCTCTGCTCCCTGGCCTTCAGAGGGATTCTGAGCATGGAATAGTTTGTTTCCAGGGATTCCCTGTGGAGCTGCATCAAATTGACCTCTGTGGGTCTTTGCTTGGCTTGCTTCCCTTGCTTTTCTCCTGTCTCTCTTCTCATTTCCCTACTGGTTTTTCCTAGGAATACACCACCCTAAGAAAATTGTTCAAGGGGAATCCAGATAAAAACATGAAGTCTTCTCACTCTTGTGTTTTTTCTTCCTCTGGTTTCCCAGAAAGGCGGTATTATCAGTAATAGGTGGCCTGTGCTTGTCTGTAGAGAGCTTTTCACAGAGGAATTCACAAAAGATGCTCAACCTGGACAGATGGATGCTGGTTCTTGGTACTCAGATAAGCAAAAGCAAAATGGAGAGTCGCTCAGCTGTCCCAAGTTCTCATTTCTTCTTTTCTTTTCGCCTCCTTTTTCCTCAGTTCAAGGGAAATCTGTCCATGTTCTCTGAATAGTTCAGCGTTTCAGGTAGATCTTTTGGTTTTCTCTGGACAAGCTGAGTAAATGTCTTAGCATCTTTCTAAAAACCTGTGAGGGGAAGGGAATGGGCTACCGTGAGACATAGATTGCTGCGGCCTGGCGAAGGCTTTTCAGAGAGGGCAGCAGGTCTCCACCAGCCTGGCCCATGGGCCTCCTGTCTCGACAGTGGGTCACTGTAGCCCAGACAGTTTCCTGTAGTTGAAGACCTTTGCTTCATAGATTTTCTTTCTTTGGGACCAGGGGCTCATTGTAGCTGATATACCTTTTTCTGTGGTGGCCACCTGTTAATGTCTTAATTTGGTCCATCTGGTGGTGGAGCAGAGCCTGTTTTAAAGATGCTTTTGTGGGAGAGTTCTTTGAAAATGATGTTTTTGTCAACTGCCAGGTAATATAGGTCAAAATAGGGAATCCAGAAAGATGGAACAGGGGGAAGAAGACACCTTTACTGGGAATCAGGGAGGGGTGTTGGATTTCATTCCAGAGGTCTGAGTCCTCATAGGGACCAGGTGGGTATGCAGTGGAGGTGTGTGAGGGGTAAAAACTTGGACTTCTGTGGGAACCTCAGTGTCTTCACCTCTCTTTACTTAATAACACTCATCCAGCTGCCCTCAGAGTGTTGTTTGATGATCAAAGGGGAAGTATTTTTATTGACTATTATACTACACAAGCTTCTGAACCCTTACCAGAGACAAGTGGCAGTCTCCTGGAGACAGTGATATATGCAGAGGTATCATAGTGTGGGTTTAAGTGAGAAAATAAATATAAGCATCAGTTCAGTGGCTGCATGAAGGGCCACGGATGTCTCTAGAGCCGCCTGGGCTGATCATGAAGGCTGTGTTCACAAAAATTTGCAAACATTGATTGCCATAAGGTGTGTGATAATGCGATTAGGGCTCTAGGAAATGGAAACTACACTTTAGGGAAGTGGAGGGCAGAGAACACAAAGCCACACAAACAAACACATCACAAACAAAATAAGTCTGTATGGTTATTAGAGTGAAGTCTTGTGCTGATTAATGTTTTCCAGTATTAAATATTTTGAAATCTAACCTAGTGTTCCCTGTTTGTGTAAATGATTAACTTTACTGGTGGAAGAAACAAGAGCACACGGCAGAGGTGACTTGTACTTTCCTTCTCCTGGTTGTGACAAACCTCTCCCCTCTCTTGGCCATGGTAGAGATGTCATCTTTCTAGCATAACCTTTGAGACTCCCTAGGGAAATGTGAAGCATCCCCCTTCTGCACCCCTTTGGAACTTGTAATGAAAGTCCTGTGAGCAGGTGCTTGCCTGACCTCTGCTCCTTGAGGCTGAGCACTGGGTCTTTTTACCTCAGTGTCCTTCTGTTCTGACAGCAGTTTTCCACGCCCATGAACTAGTACTCACACCATACAAGCAGCATCTTTGGGCCTCAGGGTTGGGTGGAGGAGTAGATAACCTAGCATTAACAGCTATGATTTTAGAAGTGTCTCTTTCAGATGAGGTGGTTATTCAGTATCTTTCAGATGTTGTTTTGGTTTCAGATGTTTGTGATCAGATTCTCGGGAGCTTGGCTGTCTACATTTATGGCAGAGACAGTTGATGCTGCCAGATACTCATGTGCTCCTTAACAGATTCCATCAGTCTGTGCTCATGATCCCTGGTGGTCTGAGGGTTCCCATTTCAAGCCGTTACAGTGCTATTGGAAGGCTTTCTGTGGTTGCAGGGACATGGCTGATTCATTTTTGGTATAACCCAGAGAGACTAGACAGCTAATGACTTTTTGGACCAGCCCTTAATGGCTAACAGAGGAGAATAAGTGGCTAAATACCAGTGCCCTTGTACGTTTGGTGGGAAAGGTGGACATGTTGAGGCATGTTCCACCAAGTCCCTCTAGGGATGGGCTTCTAGCAGAACTGGGCCCACGTTGCTCACAGCAGTAACCTGCCTGTTTGTGCCACTGTTATGGTTCGTTTCTCCATTCTGTTCTGTTGGTTGCTTCCTGGGATCACCTCCTAAGTCAACCTCAAGATATGCTTTTGGGAAGGCCCAACATAATTCCCTCTGAGGATGATTAAGATTACCTGACCAGCTGTAGCTACTGGACTGTGGGTGGAAGTGCCACATGGCATTACTCATGCAAGGCAAGTAAGAGCCAGAACATTCCACTGCCTCTGTTTCACTGTGGTGGCAACCTTGGAGGCTGCATTCTTCAGGTAGAAGATCTGATATGGCAGAAGGCTGTGGTAGAGTCTGCCAGCCTGGGGCTTAGCTATCTCTAACGTGACATCTGCCCTAGAAATAGTTTATCTCTCCACAAGGAACTTCTGTGTTGTTTTTCCAGTTGCAGAAAAAACCCCTCCCACTCTTTTTGCACATGCCCAGAGCCCTCTCTAATCCCAAGACTCCACAATTACCCAAGCGCCCCAACCCCAGTCCAACTCCATACAAACTGTTCCCAAATACCCCTTTTTGAGGGATCTTGTACTATTCTGCAGCCCTCCCGTGCCTGCAATAAAGGCCTCTTTATCTCTCTTTACCTTTCAACTGCTATGAAAAAACCTAACAGGCTGCTCAGTCCACACTGGAATTTACAAAAACTGTTGTGGTGTCTCTTGTTTTTTTTTTTTTTTTTTTTTTGCATTTATCAGTCAAGGAACCTGCTTCCCTGACACCCAACATCATTACTGTTCTTTTAGGTTTTCTTTACTAAAATCAGCCCATCCTCTATGTCTCCCTCCTCTTCTGTTTCATAAGAATTTTTGAAAGCTTTTACTCTTGATCTCCTTTATGCATTTTATTTCCATACTCCTCCTCTCTTCTGTGACTTGATATTACAGTAAAATTTTTGTTTTTCTGTGATTTTTAATTCATCTTGAAGTTATCTTGATATTGTTTGTGAAGTGAACATTTGAAAGCACTTTAATTCCAAATTATTAACTGTTGTAAACCCAAATATCGAGTTCAGTCATCCAAGTATTGTAATCCTCTTTCTAATTTTCCTCACAACCCAGAAGGTTATATTTATAATCCTATTAAAACGTTATTGGAATCACAGCGAGTTAATTCCAATCTACACCACCAATGCAACCCACTGGTGAGATGTAAAGACACCAAGACATATTCCAAGTTAAGGTCAGCCAAGGGATCCTAAGTTCAATCCTCCTCAGGACATGTGGACAAAGGCCTTGATCCTAGGCCTCTCCCAGAATTTATTATCTTGTGAAGAAGGGTGGGGGTGGCTCAGGGATGAGTGACAGTGAGGATGGGGGGATTATGTGGTAACTTGAGCTGGCTGGCCAGGTGCAAGATTGGCATCTCTGTAAATTGCAGATATGCAGAAGAATCAATTTACATAATCTAGTTAGGGGAGCAGTGGAATTATTTTGGGGGTCTACTGCTTTAGTTTCTGATATGCAGACTCTTGTGCCCTGAGGAGTCATAGCCTCAGCTCATACCCGGTTGACATTCCCAGAGCTATTTGTTCTAACGTCTGGCTCTAACTTCTCCAGTGCTCAGTCCTGTATTGTGGAGAACACTATGGGAGGAAACAGGACTGTCTGTTGGCTATAGAGATTGCATAATAGCACCTTCACTAGCCTCTTTTGCAGTGCTTAGAGCCAACTGAAGAGAGAAGGAAATTCCCTAGCCAGCTTTGTACATATCAGTATAAGGAAATGAGTCTCCAAATAATCAAAGTCACAGTAATTGTTTTGGATTCAAAGGGAGTCATTGGAGTTGTCTCCCACGTTAACCAATTGTTTCAATATTGAGTAAAAATTATTCTGACCTTTCATCTTTTTTTATACATTAAAGAAAATGTGAAGTACAATCTATTTTGGGGTCAGGTTTTTTTCCCTTGAATTCTTGTGCAAGTACAAAGACATTGTAATTGTAGTTCTGGAATCTATTTTCTATCTTTTTTATTTATTACTCATCTCTCTCTTGTCCTCCCTCAAAATTGCAGAAATTACAATTGTGAAGAACTGTAAACTGTTAAGCAAGTGAATTTAACTTATTAGGACTTCACATTCTGGAGTGGACAGTTCTTAACGTGGATTTTCTAGTTTTGTTTATCAGATATATTTC